TTAAAGAGGGGGTAAAGAAGAGAGAGAGTAAGGAGAGTGGAAAAGAGGGGAAAGACGGGGTTGAAAAATGGTGAAGAAAGAAGAGGGAGGAGGGAGAGAGTGAGAGTTAGTAGGGAGTGGTGGCGGTGGGAGCAAGAGGGGGGAGAGTGGGGAGGTTGAAAGTGAGATGATGGGGGAGTGAGGGGATAGTGGAGGGGGTAGTGGAATAAGGGAGAGGTTGGGGGGGGGAAAAGGAGGAGGGAGGAAGATGACAAGGAGAAAAGAGGAGGAAGGAGTGAGGAGAGAGTGGAGGGTGTGAGATGGCAAGGGGGAGGGGGCAGGGTCTGAAGAGAAGAAGGAAAACAAGGGAGAAAGAGTGAATATGAGGTAGTGAGGGGGAGAACAGGGTGATAGGGAGCGCGAGGTAGAAGAAAAAGTAGGAGGTAGAAAAGGTGAGAGGAAGAAGATGAAAAAAATCGGAAAAAATAGGGAGAACAAAAGAAAGAAAGCGAGCAATTAACGAATAGAGGACATAGGAGAAAGGGGAGAGAGGAATAGTAAAGAAAGGAAAGAAGGAAAGAGAAATACATAGGCCTAACCGGTACAAGTGCCTGAGTCTTATATATATTCCTGTTGCTTATCATTTCACGGGTCGAAGGAAACCCTTTTTGTGGAAGGAACGTGCGATAATGTTCTGCTTTTTGAGTAGGGGAAGTTTTTTTCTCTTTCTCTCGCTTTCTTTCTTTCTTTTTCTTTCTCCTTCTGTCTGTCTGGATGTTTGTCTCTCTTTTTCTTTTACTGTTAGTCTGTGTCTGTTTCTCTCACTTTCTCTCTCTTTTTTTTCTTCTCTCTGTCTCTCACTCACTCACTCTCTCTCTCTCTTTTCTCTCTCTCTCTCTCTCTCTTCTCTCTCTCTCTCTCTCTCTCTTCTCCTCTCTCTCTCTCTCTCTCTCTCTCTCTCCTCTCTCTCTCTCTCTCTCTCTCTCTCTCTCTCTCTCTCTCTCTCTCTCTCTCTCTCTCTCTCTCTCTCTCTCTCTCTCTCTCTCTCTCTCTCTCTCTCTCTCTCTCTCTCTCTCTCTCTCTCTCTCTCTCTCTTCTGTTCCATTACCACCACTATTATTACACTATCATCACTACCGCTACTACTAAAAGAACCTTTTGTCCTCCTCTTATCATTCTTATAACTTTACCTACGCCATCTAGTGCACATTACATATTACTTCATGCTACTTATCTACCCTTGCTTCTAATCCCGCCAGCATGAGTAGTAGTAAAAACAGTAGTTGTTGTCTTCTTCATCTCTTTTTTAAGCATCTTATTTTGGGAAGTGTAACAAGAAACACACACAAAAAGAAATGAAAAAAGAAGCTTTGGGGTTTAGTTTTTAGGTTCATTTCAGCTGTTTCGACTCGACAAGGTTTTCCTCTTAAGAAATATGATATATAAATCCTTCGTTTTGTGTTTTGCATATCGATTATCTATGATATATTGAAAGTAGTTAATAGTTTTTTTTTTTTTTTTTGTTTTTGCACTAAATGGATTTTCTTTTTTATAACTATATGAATTTATTATAGGATAATGAATATAAGATAATGGATATTTTTTTTTCTCTCTCTCACTTTGTAACTTACAGAAAACGGAAAAGAATATCATTAAAAGAGAGAGAGAGAGAGAGAGAGAGAGAGAGAGAGAGAGAGAGAGAGAGAGAGAGAGAAGAGAGAGAGAGAGAGAGAGAGAGAGAGAGAGAGAGAGAGAGAGAGAGAGAGAGAGAGAGAGAATACAACAAAGCGAAACAATATGAGGTCCAAGGAAGCAAGAATTAAACAAAATGGATGCAAAGGGAAGGTGGAAAAATATAATAATAAAAAACAACAACAATAAGAAATAAGAAATTATAAGAAAATATGGACAGAAAATGAAAGAAAGAGAAAGAACGAGGGGGAGTGAGAGAGATAAAAGAAAGAAAAACAAAGCGAAAGAACGAGAGAGAAAGGAAGAAAGAGAAAGACAAAGAACGAGAGAGAGTGAGAGAGAGAGAAAGAAAAAGGAAAGAGAGAAAGAAGAACGAGAGAGAGTGAGAGAGAGATAGAAAGAAAGAGAGAGAGAGAGAGAGAAAGACCAAAGCGTAGAGTCGGTCACAGAGTAATTAATTGGCACAAACTAAGACAGATTAAAATGGATGAAAACTGATTATGTAATAGCGTGAAGGTAAATACGAATAAGGGGGAGGGAGAACAGGAAATAAACAGGTGAGAAATGAGGAAATATGTGAGAAGACAATAAGAAGAGGGGAGATGAGACGAATGAGGTAGTAAAGGAAGGAAGTAGAGGATAGAATGAAATTAGAAAAAAAAAACGGATAGACAATTTAGAAAAAACCAAGAAAGAGGAAATAAAAAACATTTGAAGATGGAGAAGAAGAAAGGCAGAGAAAAGAAGAATAAAACGGAAAGGCGAAGGAAGCGAAGAGAAAATAAAGAAAGAGTAAAATGGGACAGAAAAGTAAGAGAAAAAAGAAAGG